AAGGATAAATACTGTATGATTTCACTTACATTAAAAAAATAAGAAAAAGTAAATGCATGGAGAACAAAGTTTATTAGTGGTTACTACCAGCAGGAGGGGAGCTCTGGTAGCATAGTGCCTAAGGCACTTGACTGCTAACCAGGAGGCTGGCGGTTCAAGCCCACCAGCCACTCCTCGGAAGGAAGATGGGGCAATTTACTTCTGTAGTGATACTGCCTTGGAAACCCAAGGAGGGGTCGCTGAGTCGAGTCCGACTCAACGGGACATAACAACAACCACCAGCAGGAGGGTTGGGAAAGGGAGATTAACAGTGATAGAAAAACTGCATCGATTGAAGGTCAATTACCATAATTGATGTCACTAATTGTACCTGTAAAAAGTTGAATTGGTAAAAGATGTGTAACAGACATATTTTCAATGACTAAAAAAAAGAGTAGTTGTTGAGGCTGCTTATGTACAACTAAACACCTCATAAGAACTGTTCCTTGGTTTGGAGGTTTAGGGGCATGGTTTCATGGGATATCCTAGTTATTGGTATAACACTTCTGTTTTACCTCCTACTTCCTTGTGTAGTGCCTGGCATCTTAAAAGCCTGAAAGCGACCATGCTAAGCACAACAATAGGTCTCTATTCACCTGGAACAACAGAAGAAAGAAAGTCAGGAATAGGAGGAAGAAATGGAATGTGTGGCTAACTGCCTGGCAAACAACTGCTTTCTTTACCATGAAATCAGAACTGGATGGTGCCCGGCTACCATCACTAAACATTTTTATCAAAGATTCCAGGGAAGAATCCTGATCAAAAGGGGAAAAATTCAGAACATAATTTCAAATTCTCAGGGACTCTAGACTTTCTGTTACTATGGACGCTGGATGAACCTCTGAAACTACTGTCCTGATAGAATCTTTAAACCTTAAACTAAAAATATCTCCCGAACTCGTCTTAAAATCCAGTAATAGTTTAGCATCATTAGTAAAAAATGTCTGCCTTGAGCATTATGCTCTTTTAAGAACTACCTATACGGGATCAAACTTGACAACAGCAACTCTAAAGATTAGATAGGAACCTTAGGGAGCAGTGAGTTGATGTTAATGATGGAGGAACAACTCATAAAAGGAAGATGAGAATGGTTGCACAACTCCAAGAATGTTATCAATGTCTGAAATAAACACATAAAAACTGTTGAACTGGTATGTTTTGCTGTGTATATTCTAACAATAACAAAGTAAAGAAAATATAAAGAAAAAAAAAAAGGCAGGGAGTGAGATTCTAGAGGTTGTCAGAGACTCGGTAGGAGGATTAGAAATTAGGAAGATTTTTGTTATCTTCTGAGAAAGAGATCAGGCTAAACCTGCGAGAGAAAGCTGAGGAAGATGCACAAACCCCTTATGTCCCAAGGACAGAGAGAAACTAAACGCCATGTACTGGAACCTATACACAAACTAAAGAATCCATGTGGACTTCATTCCAGATGGAGGGGACGACCACGTGCTCATAAGTTCCAAGAAGGTTTGGGGATTCTGCCTTACAGGGCTGAAAGGGGTTGGAGTCGCCCTCCCGAGCCTGGCGTGCGCTCGGCTTTCGCAGCCATCTGTGGGCCTGGGCCATCTGGGCAGTAATCCGATTCCAAACGCACGGCCTGAGGGCGCGGGGGGAGGGGGCGAGGGCTGCTCCAATCTGTTGTTCACCCTCGCCACGGACAAAAAGCAATCCTCTTCAGGGTAGGAAAACACATTCGTACCCAACTCGTAACCACTCGCGGGAAGTGAAAGCCTTTCCCCTACTAGGGGGCGTAGCCTGTATTTCCCAGCCAAAACGCGCCAGAAAGGCGGCGGCAGGCCCCCGGCCTCCGAAAGGTGACCTCAGTCAAGAGTAGGAAGACCCTCCCCGGGTCAGAGTCCAACCTTGGGCACAGTAAGGGCAAGCAAAGGGGTGGTTTGAAAGAACAGTCCCCGTCTTTCAGTGTCTGCACCTGGGACAAAAGTTCCAGCAAGGGGACGGGTGGGGGCAGGTGGACGTGAGGACTTCCCCGGGGGCAGAGCCGGGTCCGGGCTGGGAAGACCGCGTGAACTTCCACATGCGGCGCGTCCCGACGCCAAGGGAAGCCCGTCTTACCATTTCCTTGCGGAGCAGCGCTAGCGCCGCGTCCAAGTTGGGGGGCTTGGCTGGCAGCGCCGCGGCCCGCGCCGCGCCGCCCCCGGTACCCCCGCGGCTCAGCTCGTCTTGGATGCGCGACTTCTGCGCGTACAACCGCTCCAGATGCCGCCAGCCGCCCGGCGCGCCACCGCCCGACGACGAGTTGAGCAGCCCGCTGAGACTCTTGGGCAGCGGGGGCAGCCCGTCTACTCGCAAGCCCCGCACGCCTGCCGGGCCGCTTCCGCCCGCAGTTCCCGGAGGCGCCCAGCTGTTCATCCCGCCGGGGCAAAAATTCGCCGCCCACCAGGCTCCAGCCGAAGACCCCGCTGCCACGCCCCTCGGTCGCCTCCGCTTGCCGGAGCCCCGCCCCTTGTCCTGCCTTCCGGCGCCCCGCCCCCAGCCCGGCTCGCCGCATCCCTCCCGCCCCCGCCGCCTCCAGCCCCGCCCCCTGTCTATTCCTCCGCTTCCCGTCCCCCACCGCGGCTGGCCTCCAACGTTTGGTAGGTGCGTGGGTCACTTGCACACACGCTCTTGGGGTAGAACAACTCAAAGACTCATTGCCCAATGGCGACTAGGTCTGTTCCCGAGCAGCCCCGACAGCTGTTTATAACCACTGAGGGGGCTCTCCTCAGATGGAAAGCTTCTGGGGGGGGGGGGTCCCGCCGACGCGGAGAAGCAGACCATGGCGCCCTCTCGCGGGGCATGCAGTCGAACCCCAAGCCCAGGCTGCTCCCAGAGCGCCCACGACGGCTTCTGTCAGAGAAAGTCCGGACAAGCGGACCAACACACCGCCATCGGTCACCTTTATTGGAGGCCAGAGTCTGTATGGCAGGTGGGCAAATCGAAAAGAGAGACAGCCAAACTGGCCCAGCGACCGCACTGTGTAGGGCCACTCGCCGTCCCCACCATTCACCTGATGCGAGACAGCGCCTAAGACCAGGGCGCCTTTTATCTCTTGTCACTCTACCCGCTCACCCCCCTCAGAGAGTTCCAACCCTCGCTGTGGAGCTCCAGGCCTCCCAAGTCTACGGCTAGCTGAGATTAGTGCCCGCGCACTTTGAAACCTTCCAAATCCAAACAAACAGTTCTTTCAGCCTGGCACTGAACACTAAGAGCAATTCTTAATAGAAATGTAGGAGAAAGGGATTGTTGTTGTTGTTATGTGCCGTCGAGTCAGCCCTGACTCATAGCGACCCCTCCTTGGGTTTCCGAGGCAGTATCACTACGGAAGTAGGATTGCCCAACCTTCCTTCCGAGGAGTGGCTGGTGGGTTTGAACCGCCAGCCTTCTGGTTAGCAGTCAAGTGCCTTAGCCACTATGCTACCAGAGGAGAAAGGGATTAAATCTAGGAAACTATCCGTCAACTTTGCAATGAAAAGAAACACGCACGACTCACACCTCAGAGTGACAAACTCTACTTCTTCCAGAAGTGAAAATGACAGACAGCTATAACCAGGTTAGAAACAGAAAAGCTGAGAAAGGAAGGACTAGTTTACAACACAAGCCCAGAGCGGATTTAAAACCAAGTACAGAGAGAGTGGATGGTGTGAATGCCCTCTAATTCTTGATTTTAATTATTAAAAAAGTATTGAATTGTTCTAAATGCCTCCAATAAATCATTTAAAAGTGTTCTAAAATCTTCATACAAGTAACGTCAAAGAGCCCTGCCCATTTGGGACTTTTTTTCTTTTAATCTGCCACCCCACGGTGCAATTACTAGCCCTCTTCTGCAAGCCAAACACACCTCAGGTTCAGTGATTTTGACATGGGAACAGTGTCTTCCGCTTGACCCTTGCAATGGGGTAAGACATGGAGAAACGCCTCCGCAGGCAGTTTGCTCTGTTGGAGGACACCAGGAAGGCTTCCCCACCAACCCATGCCCTGAGTCCACCTCCTCCCTGTGCCTCACCTTCCTTTAATCACCTAGTCACATTTCTAGATCTCAGGTATTGATTCATTTGCTTATTTAAACAGTGGATGTCTTTGATGGAGTTACAAGTCATTGCCTTGTGGGTGTAAGGGAAAGGAGGGAGTGGTAAGCATTTTGATTTTTCACTCACAGGATAGCATGAATTTCTTTCATTTGGTGTGTCACTTTGCTGTCTGTCCTGCAGATACCTAGCAGAAAGCACTGAATTTAGGTAATAAGAATTTCAGATATAGATGAGTGGAATGAAAAAATAAACTATTTTAAAGTACTAGAACATTGAAATGATTTTAAAACAAATACTTAAGAGAACTATGGATGGCAAGATAAGAGTGTTAGGACCAACTAGATAACAGTCTGAGGACACCAGAAAATGGGGACTGCTTAGAAAATGCCAACCTCACAATTTTTAAGTCAGGCTCTGCTTTCTGATACATATTCAACAAAAAGGAGGCTGCCCAAAAATGAAACCTATTTGCCTTCGAGTTTATTCCAATTCATAGTGACACTATAAGGCAGAGTAGAACTGTCCCACAGGGTTTCCAAGGCTATAATCTTTACCAAGGGAGCTCTGGTAGCATAGTGCCTAAGGCACTTGACTGCTAACCAGAAGGGTGGCAGTTCAAACCTACCAGCCACTCCTCGGAAGAAACATAGGGCAATCTACTTCCATAGTGATACTGCCTCGGAAACCCAAGGATGGGTCGCTATGAGTCAGGTCTGACTGGAGGGCACATAACAACAACAGCAACAATCTTTACCAAAGTAGATTGCCACATCTTTCTCCAACAAAGTGGCTGGAGAATTCAGACCTTTCGATTAGCAGCCGAGCTGTTAACCACTGCATCATCACAGCTCCTTTGGCTGGCCCAAACTGCTATAATTCATCGTTCTTCTCCCACCCTGCTCTCAGCAACTTCTGGCTTTGTAATAAACCATTGCATCTCCCCTTCTGAAGCCTAATACTTTGTCTAAATAAGCAGCAGGGCTAAAGAAATTGAGCTAGGCTCCAGGTGCAGCTCTACTCCCCTCTTCAGGTGATCAGGCTGGAAATTTTGCATTGTACTCTTTGCAGTGAAATACACAACCCCTGGAATATAAAACCAGGTGGGTTTCATCTCAATGGCCTGATATGTTGTATGCTAATCTTGGGACTGTTAATGGACTTGAATTAGTAGCCTTCCATGTTTGATAATCTTGAGACTGTGCCCGGTTACTTGTCAACCTTGGGTTTACCAGCCTCAGCAACCAGTAGCTGTCTGAGTTAAAAGAAGCCTCCAGCTTCAGTGGACCAAGAGCAAGAGGCAGAGCTGAAGCTGAAGGTCAAGGGGCTTTTACCCAGCCCCTAGAGCTGACTTTGAACTCTTGACTTCTAGCTTCCTAAACTGTAGGAGAATAAGGTAAACTGAAATGGTGATTAGAAGTTTCTACAGAATTTTTTGGTACTAATTAAGATTGTCCACCACTCATCTGTCAGTTTGTCATACTTTGGTGGCTTGCGTATTGCTGTGATGCAGGAAGCTATTGCCACCAGTAGTTCAAATACCAGCTGGATCACCCATGGTGAACAAGTTTCAGTGGAGCTTCCATACTAAATAGGAAGAAGGATGTGATGGACCACTTCTAAGAAAATTGGCCACTGAAAACCTTATGGATAGCAGTAAAATATCTCTTGCAAGTAAAATTTTGCTGAAAATAAGTAAAAAACATTTGCAGCTGTACATCGACAAAAAAACTGCCAGAAATTCAAGCCTGATTCAGAAGAGGAAGTGGAATAAGGGATATCATTGCTAATATCAGATGATTCTTGGCTGAAAGCAGAGAATAAAGATGTTTACTATGTTTTATTGATTATGCAAAGGTATTCAACTGTTTGCATCATAACAAATTATGGATAATATTTCAAAGGGTGGGATTCCAGAACATTTAATTGTGCTCATGAGGAACCTGTACATAGACCAAGAAGCAGTCATTTGAACAGAACAAGGTGATCCTGCATGGTTTAAAATCAGGAAGGGCGTGCTTCATGGTTGGATCCTTTTACCACACTTACTCAATCTGTGTGCTGAGGAAATAATCTGAGAAGCTGAACTACGTGAAGAAGAACACAGTATCAGGATTAGAGAAAGACTCATTAATAACCTCTGTGGTGGTTATATTTGTGTGTCAACTTGGCTGGTCCTGGTTGAGTGGCTGGGCAGCTGGTGGTAGTTATTCCTCATGATGAGACTGGCAATCAACTCCATGGTGGGATCTACCACAAGCAGCTGTTTAGCTGCCTTTGGGATGTGGTCTGCTTCTTGTATATAAGGAGAAGCTTTGGGAATGGTCTTTAGCTTCTGGCACACTTGGATCCTGCGTGTAGCCGTGTCGTTGCTCAGCAGCCTGCTATCCTCTTGCCAACCTTGGGACTTACAATGGACTTGAATTAATGGCCTGCCGTGTGGTTTGGTAATATTGGGACTGTGCCTTTTTACTTGTCAACCTTGGGGATTCTCAGCCTCAGCAGCCAGGAGCTGTCTGAGTGGAGAAATGCCTCTAGCTCCAGTGGGCCGGGAGCAGGAGGCAGAGCTGGACCCCAAGTTTGAGGGGCTTTCACCCAGCCCCTAGAGCCTGGCACTTTGAACTTGGACTTAAGCCTCCAAATGGTAAGATTAAACTCCTGTTTGTTAAGGTCATCCCGTTTGTGGTGTATCCTTGTCAGAGCGGCACAAGGTAACCAGAACAAAATTCTCATCTTCTTCAGTCCTGGTTTTCTACTAATCCAGCCAACAATTTTTCCACCTATAATCCCTTCTAAGTTAGTGTGAGTTATTTTCTGGAAATTTGCAGTCTTCTTTTTTTTTAATTAATTTTTTTCTTGTTGAGAATATACACACCAAAAATGTAACAAAATTCAAGTTTCTGCACATATATTTCAGTGACTATGATTACATTCTTTGAATTGTACAACCTCTCACCTGCCTTTTCTGTGTTGTTCCTCCTCCATTAATATAAACTCACTGCCCTCTAAAGTTCCTGTCTAATCTTTCAAGTTGCTATTGTCAGTTTGATTCCACATAGATAGACATTAAAAGAGCATAATGCTCAAGGTACACATTCTTTATTAAGTTAAGCTGAAGTATTGTTTGGTTTTAGGAAGACTTCAGAGGATATTTTTGGTTTAAGGTTTAAAGATTATCTTAGGGCAATAGTTCTAGGAGTTCATCTAGCCTCCATGGCTCCAGAAAGACTGGATTCCATGAGAATTTGAAGTTCTGTTCTGCATTTTCCCCTTTTTTCATCAGGATTCAATAGAATTTTTTTAAATCAAAATGTCCAGTAATGGCAGCTGGACACCATCCTGTTC